GGAATCCTCCAAACAATCCTAGCATCTCGAGTAATGGAGGTGGTGGCCGTGTTTGGCAGTAAACAATGGTGCTCATTACGCACTAGCCAAGAATAAACACCGACTCTCTTAGTTCTAGTAATGAAGCGCAAATTGTTAAGTTGCTTCAAATCTTGATACACGTCTTCACTCTCTCCATCTAGAGTGCAAGACTTCAAGAACCTCTCTTGCTTGAAATGATACACCAATCTATTAATCATACCTCCACAATATATCTCACCCATTTTCTTCCCATTAATGATTTCCTTGCAACAATCCATAAAAATGTACCCAATATTCAACCTCGGCCCCAAATACGGCTTCGTAGCTTTCCAAAGAACCAAGATTTCCTCCCTCGAAAGTTTCCCAAGATCTTGCTTGTTAAACACAACACAACTAAGAACCCTATGAAGAATCCGAAGTGACGGGTGAATATTCTCACTAGCAAGCAAATTCTTAGAGTCAAACACCCTCTTATGAGCAATGGCTCTCCACCATGCAACCTCCTTGTAATCGAACTTGATGAGGGAAACCAAAGGTTCAAAGATATCAGCATTAGGATTGAAACCAAGGGCTTTATTGAATTCGGCAAGGTTCATGGTATGCTTAACGTTGAATAGCTGGAAAGAGATGATATAATCAGTATTCCCCGCCCTTATTATACACAAAAGTAGAGAAAAACTCAATGCAAGGATCCAAATAGGTTCTCGGAGAAGACTTTACAAAATTATCCAAACAAAGGTTGCGGAGTAGGATGTCAAGATCGGCATCAACTCCTAACGTGACCATATCATCGGGGAAATAGTTGCGGGTTGGTCGACACTTCCAGATTTTAATTTTGTTATAGATTGGAACTTGTTCAGACCGATTGTGAAATTTGAGAGGTGGTAAAGGAGGAGGTAGGGAATCAACTTGAGGAGTTTTGTTATGAGGAGGTTCGGTGTTTGAAGGTTGGCCATGAGAGGATTGGCCCGAGGAGGATTGGTCGGGGATTGGTTAGAAAGTTTCATGCTACTCATAACTTTTCTTACCAAATCCATAGTCACAAAGATCAATCAACACAAGAAACTCTACAATCACCCAAAATTAATACCAACACTTCCACCAATTCTTCAAACCACGTTACAATTCCACCCAAAACCACAACAAACTACAATGTACCAGTTACAAGCAGCACAACAACCAAAATTCAAACAACAACTAACAAAATTAAAAATCCATTTCAAAAATAAGCATAAATCACTCAAAACAATTCCAAAATCACCATACAAAAACCATAAACATCATAGTCATGCTTAAACAAGGTAAATCAAAACAAATATATAAAATATAAATTAAAATTGACAAAAATAAAACAAAGGCTAGAAGTATACCAAGATTGAAGACATAAACAAAGCTAAAACTTGCTTCAAGGAACCGAATTTCCCGAAAAACCACGAGAAAAGAGACTAAAGTTGATGAAAATGGAGTAAGATGGAAAATGTGGTGGAAATTTGAGTGAAAACAAGGAGGAATTGTATGAATTTCTGTGAGAATGATGATTTAGGGGTTAGGGTTTGAGAGCATGAAACGAGAGAAAGGGGAAAAACAAGAGAAGATTGAAAAATAAAAGAGGAGAGAGAGAGAGAAATCAAACCAGCATTTGTGTAACCCATCAAGCCGTGCCCTCTCCCGACATCGCCGCACCCGCGGAGTATCGCCTGTGCCCGCGGAGAGACCGCAGGGAGAAACTGATCATTTTTTTCCTTTTTTAAAGCAAGGGCACCTCAATCCTCTCCAAGCCCGTAGGGTTCCCTCTCCCCTACATTCCCAAATCCATCTTTTTCAATTCTCATCAAACACCTTTAGTGCAAAGCTGATGATTAAAGGTAACCTACAAAAAAAACACAAAAAACAAAAGGAAAGATAAGAACAAAAATCAACAAAGAAAATAAAAGAAAGGAAAGAAAAGAGAATAGAGGTGAGAATCTGGGTTGCCTCCCGTAAGCGTTTTTGTTTAACGTCGTTAGCTCGCTACCACCCATTCAAGGTGGCTTGAAAAGAATCATTTTGTGAACAAGACCCACGAACACTCCATCAAAATATATCTTGAGCCGATGACCATTAGCCTTAAAAGCAGATAAGGAATCCAAAGGAGAAATCTCCATGGGACCATTATCAAAAACATCTTTCACCAAGAAAGGGCCACTCCATCTTTACATGAGCTTTCCGGGAAACAACGACATTCTTGAATTGTATAGGAGGACTTGATCACCAACACAAAAATCTTTCTTCTCAATAAGCTTATCGTGAGTTTCCTTAGAACGAGCTTTGTAGGTGATAGCACAATCGTAAGCATCAAATCTAAGCTCGTCTAGCTCATGAAGATCCAAACACCTTTTCTCCCCCGCACATTCCAAATCAAAATTTATCTTCTTGATTGCCCAAAAAGCACGGTGTTCAAGCTCTACCGGGAGATGGCATGATTTTCCATAGACAAGGCGATATGGAATGGTGCCAATAGGTGTCTTTAAAGCCGTTCTATAGGCCCAAAGAGAATCATCTGAATTGTCCGACCAATCCTTTCTATTCCTTGGGAAACCGCCTTCTTAAGAATAAGCTTGATTTGACGATTGGAGACCTTGACTTTGCCACTCGTTTGAGGATGATATGGAAGGCCAAAGTGTTGATGAACCCCATGTTTTCTCAAAATCTTTTGAAAGGCAAAATGAGAACCATTATCACTTATCACCGCCTTAGGCACACCAAACCTTGGGAAGATGATTTTTTTGAACAATTTCAACACTACCTTGTGGTCATTTGTTTGGTAAGAAATGGCCTCAACCCACTTAGAAACATTGTCCACCACTACAAGTATGTATTGATTTCCATATGAAGATGGGAATGGTCCCATGAAGTCAATCCCTCATACATCGAACACCTCCAACTCAAGAATAGATTTTTGAGGCATCTCATTCCGCTTGGAGATATTCCCAACTATTTGACATCGATCACATGACTTGACAAAGCCCCATGAATCCTTGAAGAGATGTGGCAACCATAAACCACTTTGAAGAACATTAGTAGCGGTTTTGGAAACACCCATACGGCCCCACTAGGATCCGAATGGCACATCTTCAGAATACTAGGCACCTCTTCATTCGGAACACAATGCCTAAGCAAGCCATCAACCCCTCATTTGTACAATATGGGATCATACCACAAGTAATTTCTTGCCTCCCTCTTTAGTTTCTTTCGGTAGTTCTTGGAGAAAGAATGTTGAAACTCCCCAGATGCTAGAAAATTTACCAAATCGGCAGACCATGGGAGCTCCTTTACCTTAATGGCATACAAGACATCATCAAGAATTCTATCTTCAATAGTTGAACCATCATCATGAATTTGATCACCCTCAAGGCCAGAAAGATGGTCCGCCACAACATTTTCCGTACCCTTCTTATCCCTAATCTCTATTTCAAAAGTTTGTAGTTCAAGCAGCCAACGAATCAACCTTGGCTTGGACTCCTTCTTGGCAAAGAGATACTTGAGAGACGCATGATCCGTGAAGAAAATTGTCTTGGAACCCAACAAATAACAATGGAATTTCTCAAAAGAGTGAACAATGGCCAAAAATTCCTTTTCCGTTGTTGTGTAATTCTTTTGAGCCCCATTTAGTGTCTTGGACATATAGTAAATCACATGAAGCTTCTTGTCAATACGTTGTCCCAAAACACCTCCAATTGCCCAATCACTAGCATCACACATCAATTCAAAGGGTAGATCCCATCTTAGGGCTTGAACAATGGGGGTAGAGATTAAAGCCTTCTTCAACCTATTAAATGCCTCCCAGCATTTACCATCAAACAAAAATTCAACATATTTTTTAAGAAGATCATTAAGGGGATTGGCAATGAGTGATAAATCCTAGATGAATCTTCTATAGAAACCCGCATGTCCCAATAATGATCTCACTCCCTTGACATTCACCGGAGGTGGAAGCTTCTCAATAACCTTGATCTTGGCCTTATCCACCTCTATTCCTTTATGAGATATTTTGTATCCAAGTACTATTCCTTCCTCCACCATGAAGTGGCACTTCTCCCAATTAAAGACAAGATTAACCTTCACACACCTTGCCAAACATTTCTCAAGATTCACAAGGCACTTTTCAAATGAAACTCCACATACGGAGAAGTCATCCATAAACACCTCCATTTCTTCCTCCAACATGTCTCCAAAAATGCTCATCATGCACCTTTGGAAAGTTGTGGGGGCATTACAAACGCGAAAAGACATTCTCCTATAAGCAAAAGTCCCATTGGGGCATGTGAATGTTGTGTTCTCTTGATCGTCAGGGTGGATTGGGATTTGGAAAAATCCCGAATAAACATCAAGGAAACAACAAAACTTGTGCCTTGTTAGTCTCTCAAGCATTTGATCAATTAATAGAAGGGGAAAGTTATCCTTTTTTATTGATGTATTTAGACGTCTATAGTCTATACACATCCACCAACAGGTGACCGTCCTAATAGGAATGAGCTCACCTATCTCATTCTTGACCACGGTCATACACCCCTTCTTAGGAACGACATAAACGGGAGAGATCCACCTAGAGCTTGAGATGGGGAATATGATTCCCGCATCTAAAAGCCTGGTGATCTCTTTTTTCACCACGTCTCCCATTTGGGGATGTAGCTTTCTTTGTCGTTCAATAGAAGGAAGGGTTCCATCCTCAAGCTTCATGTGGTGTGTACATAAAGCGGGGCTTATACCCTTAAGATCATCAATAGTATAGCCCAAAGCACCTTGGTGCTTTCTCAAAACACAACATAACACTTGAGCTTGACTTTCACTCAAGGATGCACTAACAATTACGGGGTAAGTGGAATTTGGGACTAAGAATTCATACCTAAGGTTTGATGGTAGAGGTTTAAGCTCTACCATAGGCACACCTTTACCTTCTTTTGTTGCGGCCGCTTGCAAAGCTTCTTGGCTTGAGATCTTCAAGCATATTTGCTCATCCACTTCCTCCATGCTTCCATTAAGCTATTCCTCATACAATACCATCTCCTTGCATGGGCACCTACCTTATCTTTGTTCAACAAAACATTCTCAAGAGCATCGTTAGAGGTGAGTAAGTTCTCATGCATGGAAGACACAACATGATAAAGAGAGTCAATCACCATGCAATTTTCTAGAGAAGAACATGAATATTTCATTCTTTCATTCGAATCGAATTCAATGACCTCATTTCCTACCTTAAGCGAAATCTTTGCACTTTTGACATCTATCATAGCACCCAAGGTAGCAAGAAAGGGTCTACCTAAAATGACAGGAATGGTAGAATCTTCATCCATTTCAAGTACAACAAAGTCCATCGGGAACACAAACTTCCCAACCATGAACGGAACATCTTCCACTATACCTTTTGGAAACTTGATTGACCTATCGGCTAGTTGCAAGGTAATGTTGGAAGGTAAGAGTTCCCCTAGATCAATTCTTTGATAAACTGAATATGGCATTAGGCTTACACTAGCTCCTAAGTCACATAGGGCATTATCAATTTGCATCTTGTTAATAGCACAAGGGATAGAGAAGTTTCTAGGGTCTTTCAACTTGGGTGACATTTTGTTCATGATGATTGCACTACAATTCTCGGTCAAGTTGATAGTCTCCACAACCTCACAAGTCCTTTTCCTACTCAAGAGGTAGAGAAAGGTGAAGTTGTTTGAGCATATCAATAAATCTCCTAAATTGCTATTCTAATTTGTGCCTCATGAATTTTTGGGGGTAAGGGAGCTTGGGTTTCACAATTTCTTTCTCTACTCTCACTTCTCTAGGTGTCTTAACCACAACCTCATCCAAAGATGCCCTATCTCCCTCATTCTTAACCAAAGCTTCCTTGGGGACCTCCTTGTCTTCACTCTTCCTAGGCAATCTCTCCTCAAGAACTTTACCAATCCTTGTAACAATAGCATTCACGGGTTTCTTAGGATCTAGGCCTTGTGAAGGTAAAGAAGTAGGGATTGCTTGGTCTTTCAAAGCATTAGCAAGTTGAGAAATTTGGTTTTCGAGCATTTTTCTATCGGTCATCATCTCATTAAATTTCTTGTCACTAACGTCAATGTATGTGTTCAACAACTTGGTTTGATTTTCAATTATTTATTCCAAATTAGTCCTAGAAGAAGAAGGTTATGAATAGGAATTTTCAATTTAAGTCTTTGGAACAAATCTGGGTGGGGACCCCTTTGAGAATTATTTTGAAAATTGCCCCTACCTTGATTGTTCCAATTACCCCTATTTTGATTCATACCATAACCTTGATTATGGTTGCCACTACCTTGGTTATGATTTCCATAAATTTGGTTTTGATTACCATAATTTTGGTTTTGATTTTACTACTATAACCTTGATTGTTATATTTACCACAAGAACCTTAGTTCCCTTGGTTTCTATAACCACCACCTTGGTTATAGTTGTCAAAATTACCTTAGTTTTGGTAATTCCTATTCCATTGACCCCTTTGATTATCAAACTTTTGCACGTTATTATTTGACACATAGTTCACATGCTCACTCTCATTGTTATTAAAATCATCACCACATTCCGGAGAAGCATGAGGGCAATTACAAGAGTCATGATCATAAGATCCACATGCATCACAAAACAAGCAACCACTAGGCATATATTTGTGGAGGGAGGGTTTTGAGAGTTAGAAATGATACCTCTCCCCTTAAATTGGGAGGGAAGACTAAAAGCTTGAGAAGAAGAATAGCTTTCCAATTTAGCCTTGATTGAGGTCATTTCTTTTCCCAAATTTGTCTTTTGTGAGGATAGGTTGTTGATCGCATTTAGATGGTCTATAGAGTACACCGAAGAGCTATTCTTGCTAGTTAAATCCCTCTCACCATCTTGCCAATTTTCTATAATACTTCACCACATCCTCAATAATGTCCACCACTTTTTCCTCCGTCCTATTCATAATGGGACCTCCAACTTCCCCATCAAGGCATGATTTGCCTTGGGGACTTAGGCCACCATAGAAAATTTTAATGACTTAATAGGTTGGAATTCCGTGGTAGGGACACTCCCTTTGGTACTCTTTATACTTCTCTCATGCTTCATAAAGGCTTTCATTAGACCTTTGCTTGAACCCTTGAATCAAAGCTTTAGCCTCCGCCGTTTTCTTTTGTGGGTAAAACCGGGACAAGAATTCCTTGGTGACTTCGTCCCATGTTCTTAGGGAGATTGGATTTACCTCCTTGTCCAACCACTCCAAGGCTCAACCTATGAGAGAAAAGGGAAACAACTTTAGCCGGATAAATTCTTGAGAAACTCTGTTTACTTTGATAGTATTGCAACACTTTTCGAACTCTTTGAGATGGTTCAACGGACTCTCATTCTTAGCTCCGCTACACTGTCTCCCCTCGATCAAGGCTATAATAGTCAACCTAATTTCGAAATCATTTGCCGATGTTGTAGGTGGAGCAAATTCGCTCTCAAACTTGAACGCACTAGAAATCCAAATTCTTTCAAAGCAACTCTGGGTTGTTCTCCCATGCCTAGTTCTTCTTCTTCAAATCCTTCTTCGCTTGAGGAAATAGACTCTAAGGATCGACTAGAAATTCTTCTCCTTCAAAGTGTCCTTTCGATTTTCGGGTTAAAATGCAGAATCGATCAATCACGAGCTCTATGCATGCAAAACTCGATGAAAATATTAGTAACACGGCTACAAATGTATCCTAAAGAAACAAAATCTATTTTTATTTTTCATTTAAAGTGAAGTAGACTCAACATCTAAAGCAAGCACCAATATCACTCCCCGGTAACGGCGCCATTTTGATAGAGGAATAAACGCGTTGTCAATTGTCTATCCCTAGATCAAATACAATTTATACAACCTAAACAAACCTAATACCAGTATAAGGTAAGTTAAGGGTCGAACCTAAAGGAGTGAGTAGGTATAAACAATAGCCTAAGTCAAGCTACTTTGAAAATTATAGTGAGAAAATGGTTGGTACTATGGTAATTGTAGGGAATATTTCAAGCATTACCCCTTTCTAGAACCCCACTGTGATCATACGCTAAAGTACGGTGGCGTCCAAAGGGAAGGAAGCTAGAGAAAAAGAGTCGCCAACAAGTTTTAGGAACTTGTAAACCGTTCACGAGGTGAAGGTTACACCCCTTAACGATCTAGGAGATCGTCAACTCCAATAGGTCTGGAACCATGACTAGTAGTTCGGGGATGAAGGTACAAATCCAACCTAAAAGAGATTGAAACTGCCCTAATAATAGGCCTCTACTTTATTCTTATTGTATTCATGTGCGCTTTCTTACTAACATGCAATCAAAAGGATTACCCTAAACTTGTTTATCAATGTTGGTTGAATATTAATGCACAAATAAAACTATTATTGGCGATCACTTGAATTATAATCATATTAACCCTAAATAAGATTATTAATTATCTTATTAAGTATGATTACAAGTACAAATTCTCTTTAAACATGCATAAAAGCGTGATGAAGCAATAACAATATTATAAATCTAGCAACATAATAATAATCATGATAATAATAATAATAATCATAAAAATCATAATTATTATAATAGTTATAAAAATAATCATGTTAAAGCATAATAATAGTAAGATCCTAGGCATGATACTAATAAGATTAATAACAAACCCTAGCATGTCACTAAACATCAAAGATCAAAAATTTATCCCTAACATGATACTTACATGAATATTAGGAAAGAAAATAGGAAGCATCACAGGAATCACAATTTCCATATTTGATATTAGAAATTATAGTTGTTACCCTAAACATGATACTAGAAAGATCAAAACACCCTAACATGACAACAGAAATCATAATAATAACCTAGACATGATTTCTAATAACCATATAATCAGTTAAAGCACTAACTTGGATGCCTCGTATCTCTTTCTAATAACACAATACACACGCGTTAGTAACATCAAGGAAAATAATAAACAAAACAATTAAATTAAATTAAATAAATTAAAGAGATATTTGGGACCAAACCCTCAGAAACTAAAACCTTTCACGTCTAGGGTAAAGGCAACTTTGAACTTAACAAGGAGTGTCTAGTGCTAATGTATGAGGAATTGTGTTTCTAAAAGGCTAAGCTAGAAAGAGGGAGAGAATCAAGAAATTCTTGATGAGAGTTGATGATAGAGAGAATTAGAGAGTTGATAAGAATTGATGGGAATCAATTATTGTTGAGAATTGATGATTGAAAACAGAATTTTAAGAGGCTATTTATAGAGAAAATCAGTCGGATGCATAAAAAAACAAATCAGAGTTTCAACAAGAATAAAAATCGATTAGCGCCAGATGCTGGTAATTAGCGCCAGGCGCTGAAGGTTAGCGCCAGGCGCCAAGCCTTAGACCCAAGTGATGAAGCCACTTATAATCAGTTTTATGCATTTTCGTTTTTATCATATATTTTGATTTGGAAGCTTAAATAAGATATATAATTTGTCGTTGGAAAGCTCTTGAAGTCTAATTTCCAACCCATTTAGGATCAGATTAAAATATTTTTTAGATAAAAAGATATGGCCGAAATAATGAAAGGGTGTCAGTTTTTGATAGAGTTTTGTATCTCATTCATATCTTTTGAGGCATAAAAATAAAATCGGAATATATTTCACTTCGTACAAAACAAGGATTCTAAAAATGAGTAGTTTTATTCAATTTCAAACTCTTTAAAACATAATTATCAATCCTAACTCCATTAGGAATTAAAAGAACCTTCTAGAGTATTCTAGAAGACTATAATCAATCCTAATAGCTTTATGAATGATAATTAATAATAGGCCCTCCTCTAGATCATTGGACCGCATCTAAAAACTAAATCAGGCCCTGTTTAGTATTTTTGCCATAACTTCCTCATTACTCATCGAAATTGGGTTTATAATATATCGTTGGAAAGTTCTTTTCAAGCCCCATCAAACTAAACCATTATTAGACCCTTACAATGGACCAAACTAAACTGGAATGCACGTTTTTCATAAATAAGGTAAGAAAAGAAATATTTTCAAAAATAGAAAGAAAAGATATTTTAATAAAAACATCCTCATCACTAGACTTTTCATATTTTTTCTTTGTTCAATAATCAAATGACATGAAAGGTATTCATCACTTGGTCTGGTATTGGGGAGACACATTTGGGTGTCTACAGAAGTCCCCACTTTGACTGAATTTGGAGAAACACAAATTTTGAAAACAAAAGTCAAAGTATCGATAGGGACGGAGAATGATTCAGAACATTCTGCGATCCTAAATCATTCTTGTAATGTCAATACTTGCAAAACTAGCATTAGGTTAAAAGATAAGAGAGTTAAGAAACGCGTATCTTGCATCGTCGAGCACACGTCTCTAGAGGTAACCAACTTGTTGCTGCACTAGTCGGTGTGTCAACCTTCCACAATCTATGGATCGTCATCTTGTTGTTTTGATGTTCACTCGTCTCTGAACAATGGAGCTTTTTTGATATATCCATGCGCCTTTGACCCAAGATCTTCTTTTTAATATGTCCACGCGTCTCTGAAAAAAGAGCTTTTGAATGATATGTCCACGCGTCTTTGAACAAAGAGCTT